AGTGCCCAGGGGGAGGGAAACTGAGCTTCCCTGAGCTCACCTGCCAGCACTGCACCCCCACAGCTCCCCTTGGCCGCAGAGCTTCCAGGCCCTGGTGGGGACGTGGCTCCAGCTGGGGTGGGGGGAGGAAGGGGAGCACAGAGCCGCCTCCCCCCGCCAGCCAGGCAGGGCTGGCCCAGAATACAGGGGCTTTGCGAGCTGCAACCCAGGACCCTGAGCTTAGGGGGCACTCCTGTAACCCGGGGCCCTGGCCTGCAGCCCCTCCAGCTCTTTTCTTAATGTGACCCGGGCAATGGCAGCTCCCAGCTGGGGTGGGAGGAGCCCCCCTCCCCCAGCCATGGCAGCTCCGTGTGGGGCTTATTAGGCAGCTGCATGGCCGTGCTGCATAGAGGGAGCCTTGGGCAGGGGGCGTGGGGAGCCAGGAATGTAGGGTTCTCTCCCCAGCTCAGGGGTGGGGGCTGGGGACCGAGGGGTCTCACCTCCCCGATCATGCCATTCCAGACCCCGTCGATCTTCTTGCCGTGCTTGCCATTGGTGACCAGGTAGAGGTCGTAGGTGAAGCCGACGGTCTTAGCCAGGCGCTTGAGGATGTCAATGCAGAACCCTTTGCAGCATTTCTTCTCGAAGAGCAGCGGGTCTGTGGGGTGGCTGCGCAGGAGAGAGAAACAGGCGTGGGGGTGGACGCAGAGGGCAGCTGTTGGGGGGAAACTCACAGCAGCAGAGTCTGCATCTGGGGCACTGCCGCAGGGATGCTTGTAGCACTGAGGCACTTCTCTAGGAAGACTGCAACACTGGGAGCACTGCTGCTAGGAGGCTGGAAGCACTAAGGGCACTGCTATAGGAAAGCTCGCAGCAACGGGGGCACTTCTGTAGGGAAGCTCGCAGCGATGGGTGCACTGCCATAGGGAAGCTCGCAGCAATGGGGGCACTTCTGTAGGGAAGCTCGCAGCGATTGGTGCACTGCCGTAGGGAAGCTCACAGCAACAGGGGCACTGCAGTAGGGAAGCTCGCAGCGACGGGGGCGCTGCCGTGGGGAAGCTCGCAACAACAGGGGCACTGCCGTAGGGAAGCTCACAGCAACAGGGGCACTGCCATAGGGAAGCTCGCAGCGACGGGGGCACTGCCGTGGGGAAGCTCGCAGCCTCGCAGCGATTGGTGCACTGCCGTAGGGAAGCTCACAGCAACAGGGGCACTGCAGTAGGGAAGCTCGCAGCGACGGGGGCGCTGCCGTGGGGAAGCTCGCAACAACAGGGGCACTGCCGTAGGGAAGCTCACAGCAACAGGGGCACTGCCATAGGGAAGCTCGCAGCGACGGGGGCACTGCCGTGGGGAAGCTCGCAGCAATGGGGGCACTTCTGTAGGGAAGCTTGCAGTGACGGGC